GAGTGAGCAACCATGCCAGCCTGGGGTACTATTTCTTACCCTTTAATCATTTATTCTCATTTTAAATTGTGTACATGGGGGAGGGGTGCAAATGTGAGTGTTCACAGCAGTCAGAAGATGGCATCAGATCCCAAGGAGTTGGGGATACAGGAGGTTTTAGCTAGTTGATGTGGGTGCTGGAAACTAAAAAGGGGTCTTCTGCAAGAGCAAGAAGTGCTCTGAACTGCTAAGCCACTGCTAAGATTCACCTCTAATCTACCTTTTTAAAAGAATTATTTTAGATTTAGTAACACCTTTTCCCCTAGAACAGTGGAAGACTTGATGGAAGCATGGTTGTCCATCATTTAAGTTAAAAAGAGCATTGAGTAGTTAAACTTGTCAGTTAACATTTAAGATACAGGCTCACGTTCTTATCCCAGTGTTTTTATTCTCCAATTTTATTCTCCAATTGCTTTCTTTTGCTGGCCCTCACAAACAGCCTGCTATAGGATTGGGATTTCAAACAAGTGTTAGTACACGTGTTAAGGCTCCTTTCATTGTCAAGTTAAAATTACTTTTGTTTCTTCTACAGTATTTAATGTAAGTTACATTGATAGTACACTTTCTAATTGTGTTAGTGTGTTGAAACCTGGCGTGTCTGATATGGAGCTCTAACAACCAGCTTTTGTTTTATTGCCCTGAGTATTACAGAACTTTGGTATTCCTGGAAAAAAAAAAAGCTTCCAAGAACTGGAAGAAGCGAATCAGTTTTAAGCAGAAGCAAGAGGGTAGTGGGCTCGATTATTACTGGTATAATATATTTAATTACATTAATTGCTTGCACCACTGCTTCTGCAATTGCTTTGACACAAGAAGTTAAGACAGCTACTTTTGTTAATCATTTAGCAAAATATATATATATATATATATATATATATATGTTACTAATGTGTTGAGTATACAAGAAGATTTAGATAGGCATTTGGAACAAAGGAATAATGCTCTTTATCCTATTCAAATTACTGGAAGAGTTGCAGAGTTTAAGAGTAAGGAGCCATCTCCAGTGTCATGCCAAATACCATTGGATTTGTGTTACTTCTAAAATTTACAATGATAGTCATTATAATTAGGAAAAAGCTTAAAGACCCTTGCAGGGTATTTGGCATAATTCTAACACCTCTCTGGATGTTTTAACTTTGCATAGTGAGCTTATGGATTTAAAGAATGCTGACTAATTCTAAATATATGCTTTTTATATTTTAAATATACATAAAATTCATTAGAGACAGAGACAGACAGACAGACAGACAGATAGACTGACACACATACAGAGAGAGAGAGAGAGAGAGAGAGAGAGAGAGAGAAGGATCCTCTGCTAAATTCTGCCAGACTCTTAATAAAGAACTTATACCAGTGCTATATAATGTTTATGCCATAGAAAAGGAAGAAACACTACTGGTATGAAATTTATCACATAGTATAAAGACAGCCACTAAAGGCATGAATGCAGACCCAGAATCAACAACATTGGGTCAGAATCCAGGATTCCTGCCAATCTCACATGACCCACCCACGCACTGACACCCCCTGTAGCCAGCTTTCCTTACCTAACCTGGTGTGTGGAAGGAGCATTAGATGTCCTAAAAATGTCCTCGTTGTAAAACACAAGGTACTGGTGATGCTGGGCTTTGTGGCTCTCTGGACTCTCACCATCAGTTCCACACAGCACCACAACCCTTAATACAGACTCTAGATTAGTGATGCCCTAAGCCTCTTTTGTAACAAACATGTCCCTTCTCCACAGCACCTGCATTGCAGACATCCACATGGGCACTTAGGGTACTTAGTTGTATTCAAGGTAAGGGAAAATCCTACATCTCATCTTCCAAGCATTTGTTGGATAAAAAGTTCTTAGGCCCTGATAGCCATGTATAATATTACAATTCAAGGAGCTCAGGCTTCCCTTTGAAGGACTGTAGTAGATTGCAGCTTGTAGTAGATTACCCCAGAAGACTCATATGGTAAAGTCTTGTCTCTGGGCTGTTGTTTGGTTTGCTGGTGGAGGATGTATGCATAGTGCCCCAGTGGGAAGATTTGAGGTCACTAACACTGTGCTTGAAGGGACTCCAACAAGACAAACAGGGCAAGCATGACTCTAGCAGGCCTTGCCCTTCTCTCCCATTCCTTCTGCCCTGCTAAAACTATTAGATTACATTCCTAATTCTAGCTACCACAGTTCTCCTGACTACACAAAAACATTTTAGGTTGCTGCTCACAGAGGCTCAGTGTCTCAGCTGTCTCTTTTCCCCATTACATCTCAGCCATAGACCTCTACAAGCCCTGTTTCCAAAAGGAGGGAAACTGTGAAGCAGAACCTAAACTCTGTAACAAGCAGACTCTCTATGCTTGATAATTTAACAACTTCTTTACTAAATGAAGTCTTCCCTGATCCTATTTCTGAAGCATTTTTATACTCCATAGATTTACTGGACAACTGTAGGCATACATTTTTCCAACCTATTTAGTAAGTGTTCAGCCTCCCCTCCAGCCAACCATCACCAGAAGTAGTGGGGGGGGGAGTTATTAGAACACAAGGGAAGTAGACTTGTTTACAAACAGTTCTTTGGGAGTAAGTCCAATCTTCATTCAGCAGTTCAGTCCAGAAGCAAACACCAAATATAAATCAGCAGCTGCAGTCCAGTCCTCTTAGTAGTCACCACACAAGAACCAACAGCTGAAGTCGCCACACAAGAACCAGCAAGGGCAGTTCCATCCAGAAGAAACCACAAGATTTGCTTGACCCAGCCCATATTGCCCCACATTTGGGCACCAGGTGACTCAGCCCATTCAGGTCAGTCAACAGGGTCTAGCAAGAGAGAGAGAGAGGATGGAGACAAGACAGAGAGTCTGATCAAGTCCCATTTATTGAAAGGAAGTCATGGGTATATATAAGCACAAGCAGGGGAATGCAGCTGGAGACAATTAACCATGTGTGCCTTGCAGCTGTGGACACTAAACAACAAAACAAGATATGTGAAAAAAACAAGTTGTTTATCAGAGTGTGCTCAGCTGTTGTGGAATATTAAAAACAAGTCTCTTGTCAGGGTAAATGGCTCAAGATGGCTGCAAAGATGATAGCCACTTTCTGCTAGGAATTAGTTCCCAACACTTGCAAACCAGTCCAAGGCCATGGAAAGTGATAAGAAGCCCTGAACCTCAGGAGAAGTTCTTTGGCAAGTTTCTCTCTATGGTGTCAACACTAGCAGAGCTCAGCAATGCAATATAAGGTGAACCAATACATGCAAGTTGTTAGAGAAGAATAAGAAAGAGAAAGAATAAGGTTGTTAGAGAATAATGAGGCAGAGCAAAGCAAATCAATGCTTGAGCTCCCACTGTCTCCAGGGTAATATTTATATTTCTTTTAACATCACTATTCTATGAGCACCCTCATAGAGGTAGGGGGAAGTACAATAGGGGGGTTCTGGAGGGGAGACCTGGAGAGGGAATAGCATTTGAAATGTAAATAGAGAAAATGTCCAATAGAAGAAAAGAGAAAGACCATTCTGAACATCTTTAAACCTAAATTTAGAACAGTGGCCTATTGAACAAAACAGCCCAATTAAAAGTGTAGTGTGAGTATGACCTGGAACTAATTGGCTTATAGCCACCTCCTGGTCCCATAATTGTAATAACTCTGTGATAATTGTCTTTGCAAAGTACTACAGTAATTATTATTTTCTCATCATATTCCAGTAAAAGAAACAAACAATATTAGAAGCCTCATTTGAAAGCAATTTATCCTCCTTAATTAATAGGAATATGTTTCAAGGCACTTATTAATTACTTATATTATGTCCTTTGTGGGGCCTAGAGATGGTCTAGAATGGACTGCATTGTGAACGAGCCCATGGTCTTTGAGGTGAGACAGTGGAGACAAAACCTTCATGTGCAGTAGAGGCACAATGGGAACAAACCATCATGAGAAGACAGAAAATGGAATCATTCTTTTGAGGAGAAATTATGGATATTTGGAGTTGTCAAACAAGTATTTGTAACCCTGTTCTATCTCAGGGTTTCCAAATCATGCTCAAGGCTGGGTGTGATGGCCCATAACATTGATCACAGTGCTTAGGAAGAGGTAGGTGGAAATTTGTGAGATCAAAATCTACTTCCCAGTTTAACTGGACATGATTCCTTCTCTTAAAAACAAATAAGGAGAACAAAATGTGTTTTCAACTAATTTAAATTAATAGATGTTTGAGATTAGTTAACATAGTGTTCTTATTGAAGTATAAAGTATTTCCCTCAACAAATATCAAACACTGTTAATTATTATAAGACAGAAAAACAAACTTGATTCTCATGACACAAAATCATGTTTACCACTAATGTAGTGTAGGGTAGAATGAGTTATCACAATCTCCACATTGGGAAAGTAGATGAGAAGACAACAGAGGCAGATGTATCCTAGGAATAGGAAGCATAGTTCAGATCTGTTGTTTAAGAACTCAATCCTTGTGTTTTCTCTGATTTTTGTACCCTATATTTTTATAGATTCATAAAACCCTGTGTAAGTGCTTGTGTGTGTGTGTGTGTGTGTGTGTGTGTGTGTGTGTGTGTGTGTTCATGTGAGTGGACACATATGTATGTCACATGGAAATAGGTGGAGGACTAGGGAAAGAAAGTGTGTTAGTTGGAGGGAAAGGGGGTAACAGAATGAAGAAAAGGAGGAAAGAATATTGTCAAAATACATGAAATAATTTTATATTTTTTGAAAGTCAACATTATATGTGTAAATACAGAATCTTAATCAGAAGAAGTAGAGGGATATGGCCAGGAGTCCAAAACTGATGGAGATGTATCAGAGCTGAGCTAAGAAAAAGCCAAGTTCACTTCTGCATCCTCCAGTGGGAATATAGCCTGAAAGGCTCTTGATTTAGCCCATGGAAACTCACAAGGAGCTTTTGATTGCAGAATATAAAATAATATTTTTGTAATGTTCAGTACACAGAATCTAAGCATGAGGAATAAAAAAGACACAAATGTCTTTACTTTGTTTTTCCATAAGGATCTTCCAAGTCAAAGCATCTGTTCATTAACTTTCTAACAAACTTTGCAACAGTTAGACATAGCAGCTGTAGGCCAAAGGGGAGGGTCTGGGGATGTGTGGTACAGGCAGCTGGTTAGAGGAAGTTTGTGTAGGAGGCTGAAGCACTGTGGGAGGATAGCTGCTATACTGCTGACAAAAATAAATGGATAGGTCTTCAGCCTGCACACTGCTGATGGTGAGAGTGAAATCTGTCCCAGATCCACTGCCCGTGAATCGATCAGGGACCCCAGTGTACCGGTTGGATGCCGCATAGATCAGAGGTTTAGGTGACTGCCCTGGTTTTTGTTGGTACCAGGCTACAGCACTACCCACATTCTGACTGGCCTTGCAGGTCAGAGAAATTCTGTCTCCTACTGATGTAGACATGGATATGGGAGACTGGGTCATCACAATGTCTCCATCAGCACCTGCAATCAGAAATAGATAATGAGTATAAATGTGTGCACACAAAGACTTCATGATACAAGTGTTATAAGCTAAAATGTACTTTCTATTGGCATTGTCTGCTTACTATTGATGTCCTATAGAAAATAGCTATTTCTCTACAAATGAAATATTTGAAGACATTATAATACTTTTAAATGTCTCACCAGACAACCAGAGCAATAGGAATATGAAGACCTTAGTCTGTGACTTCATCCTGATACCCATGCTGGCCTGATGCATTTCATATCTCACAGCAAAGGCCTGGTTTATAAAACATGGGCATCTGGGCTGCCCTCTAGGGACCTATGCAAACGAAGTCATCAAATTAGAAAGTAATTTGCCTGGACACAGGTGTGTGAGAGCATTCAGAACAAATCAACAGCCAAAAGTACTATCAAAGATGGGAAGTAATCACTGGGAAGGAAGTCAATATAGAAGCTCAAGGACCAACTTAAAGCTTTTTAACCACAAGTGTCTAGATGCTCTCATGACAGACTTCCATTAAAAATCAATAGGTCAGATTTTTAAGGTTTCATTTTAGATAGATAGATAGATAGATAGATAGATAGATAGATAGATATGATAGAGATAGAGATGTAGGGGTAGGTGTAGGGGTAGGGGTAGGGGTAGGGGAAGGGGAAAGGGTAGAGGTAGAGGTAGAGGTAGAGGTAGAGGTAGAGGTAGAGGTAGAGTTAGAGGTAGAGGTAGAGGTAGAGGTAGAGATAGAGATAGAGGTAGAGATAGGATGAATACATTTTAGCTGTCTTCAAACACACCAGAAGAGGGCATCGGGTCCTATTACAGATGGTTGTGAGCCACCATATGGTCGCTAGGAATTGAACTCAGGACCTCGGATAGGGCAGTCAGTGCTCTTAACCACTGAGATATCTCTTCGGCCCCAACAGATGAGTTTTACAGAAATAATAGTACACCTACTTTTGATTTAATCCTGTGAAACAACAACAAAATAAACAGGGGAAGTGGAAAAGAAGAAGGGAAAGAAAGAAGGGAAAGGGAAAAAGGAGGGGAGAGGGAAGAAAGAAAGAAGAAGATGGAGAAGAGGGAATATTGAATCAGGGAGGTAACAGATATGTAGACAGGAGATAAGGAATGGAGAAAATGAAAAAGGAGAAATATTTTAAAAAGAAAGTTTTGGGGATAGAGACTCAACTGAGTAGTTGAGAGCACTTGCTTCTCTTATAAAAGACTCAGTCTTGACTCATTCCAAGCATTCACATGATTCTCAGCCATTTATATCACAAGTTAAGCCCACACATGATACACATGTATACAAAAATACATTCATGCATACACATACAGATAGACAGATAGACAAACATACATACATTCATACACATACATATATATATATATATATATATATATATATATATATATATGCATGCAATCATGCAGTTTTAGGTGCAAACCCTGAGTTTCTGCTCCAGCTACCAAGACTGCCACCTGCTGCCTTCTTTCTGCTCTCATACATTCTACCACTCTGAAATTCAAAATCAACCCTTTCTTTTTTTATAAGATTTTTTAATGTATGTTTTATTTACATTTCCAAAACTATCCCCTTTCCCAATATCTGCTCCACCCAGAAAGCCCATATCCCATCTCTCGTCCTTCTGCTTCTATGGGATATGTCCCCACCACCACCCCCACTCCCACTTCCTCATCCTCGAATTCCCTCACACTGGGGCATCCAGACTTCACAAAACCAAAGATTTCCTCTCCCAGATGTGCCTGACAAGGCCATTCTCCCCTACATATACATCTGGAGCCAAGGGTCCCTCCCTATGTGCTCCCAAGCTGGTGGTTTAGACCCTGGGAGCTCTGGTTGGTTGGTATTGTTGCTCTACCCATGAGGCTGTAAACCTTTTCAGCTTGTTCAGTCTTCTCTCTCACTCCTCCATTGAGAACCCCATGATCAGTTCAATGCTTAGCTATGAGCATCCACCTCTGTATATGTCAGGCTCTGGCAGACATCAAAGCAGATAGCTATATCTGGCTCCTGTCAGCATGCACTTCCTGACATCCATATCAGCATCTACCTTTGGTGACTGCACATGGGATGGATACCCAGGTGGAACAGTCTACAGATGGCCCCTCCTTCAGCTTCTGTCGCACACTTTGCCTCCATATTTGCTCCCATAGGCATTTTGTTACTCCTAATAAGGACCAACGCACCCACATTTTGGACTTCCATCTTCATGAGCTTCAAGTAGTCTGTGAGCTGCGTCTTGGGTATTGTGAGCTTTTAAGCTAATAACCACTAATCAGTGAGTGAATACCATGTGTGTTCTTTTGTGATTGGGTTACCTCACTCAAGATGATATTTTCTAGTTCCATCCATTTGTCTAAAAATTTCACAAATTCATTGTTTTTTATAGCTGAGTAGGGGGACTTCTGGTCTGGGCCCGAGCATAGAGCAGGTCCCAAGCGGCAGCTCTGTACCCAACCTCAGAAAACCGAGAGAAAGAGGGACTCCCAGGAGCTTTAACTCAGGCAGCATCCCAGGTAAAAATGAATCACCCGTGATGTCTGCTGTTGGAAGTTCTAATCCAGATACTGGCCTCTGAACTTATACTACTCAGACCTTTGAAGGGCCACTGACAAGAACATCAAACAGCTAGAGACTGGCATCACTAACCTGAAGAAATCCTTCGTTTCACTGTCTAAAGAGACCTGCTAAAATCACAAAGATCCTTATTGGACTTGATTTACTTTATTACAATAGAAAAGGCTGTTTACAGCTCTTGACTGTGTACAGCTCTTAAAGAAGAAGGTTGCCTTTACATAGACAAGACAGGGAGGGTTAAAGAGAGCATGAAATAGGTCAGTGAGGGCCCTGAGAAAAATAAGAGAGAGATGAATGCTAGTACAAGAATTGGTTTTCAGCCTCTCCAAGGTTGTCAACCCTGTTTCCTCCCATCTTGGGACCATTATTTGGGTTCTTTTTGCTTTTTTCTGCTGGTCCCTGGCCCTCAAATAGGTGGACTAACTCTGTGATACAACAGATAAATAATTTGGTAGCAAAACCGATTCAGATACATTATCATAAGTTAGCTATGGAGGACCACGAGACTCAAGATGAGATTGTTACTTTATACAGGGTGTTTCCAAATCCCATCTCCACCCAACCTAAAAGGGGGAACTTCTGCCCCTAGACCAAGCAGAGAGGGGCCACCCAGAACCCCCTCTGACTGGCAATCTGAATTCTTGCTTAGGCTGCGAGGCTAAGCACTGCAAGGGAATATCAATAAAAGATAAAAATACCTATCTGTGTTCCCTGAGGGACAAGCCTGACTGCATAGGGGTTGATGTCAAAAGTATCCCCTCTCCAGGAAAAAAGACATCGGGATGGGTATGGTCCTCATGCCTCACTGGACAACAACTGGGGGACTGGAGCCATTACAAGGTCCCCTTCAAATACTGGAGGTCAGGCCTCTATCCCCGCCTTTGCAAGTTTAGAATTGCCACAGCCCTTCTATACTTAGAGAAGGGAGAAGATGTCAGGGGCAGCCCTGCTTACCCACTGAAGGCCTAAAATCAGCCATAGGCCTAAAATCAGCAATAGGCCTAAAATCAGCAATAGGCCTGTCATACATGTATACTAACACCAAGTCTTGGGTCTCAGTGGAAAAACATTGAAACAGATGGCTATAAGCTAATGTCAACAGGCAGCTTTGGTGGAAATTTACAAGCCTGAGTAGTCACAGACCTTGTAAATAGGTAGCCTTGGCAGACAATACCAACTTAGATAAGGACAAGCAAGTCATAGGCAGAGTCATAGTGACTTGTCCCCTGAACCTTCACCCAGCTGATACCCGGTTCTGATGATATCCGTATTCCTCCTGATCACCCACACTCCAGTGTCATTCCCTTCCCCACATCCTGCCTTTCTGTGTTTATAACCCCTGTGAATTAAAATTTGAGAAAAAGTAAATTATTTATAAAAAAAAAAGAATTCAAGCAACATACTGAACATAAATAGAAGTAGTAGTCACCTTGGAATAATTCAAGATTTAAAAGAAAATACTTCAGTGGTTAAAAACATGTACAACTCTTGCAGAAGACCGAAGTTCAGTTCCCACATCCAAATCTGGCAGCTCATAACCACCTGTCATTCAAGCTCCAGGGGAATCCAAATCCTCTGGTCTCAGAAGGTACCTGCACTTATGCATGTAAACATGTGTGCGTGCACACACACACACACACACACACACACACACAAGCACACTTAAAAATAAAATAAATCTCTGAAACATATTTTAGGGAAAATGCTTTAGTTTTTTTCCACATTACTATATTGTTTGTAGCCTTTGTAGACATAGCCTGTGCTGTGTTGATATACATGCCTTCCTTCTATTTTTTTTCTCATGGGTTATTATGATAGAATGTTGAGTTTTAAGGCCTTTGTTGTATCTACTGAGATGATCATCTGATTTGTCCACCAGATTCTATTTATATGCTGTCACATTTATAAATTAATATGTATTGAACCATTCTTTCATCCCTGGAATTAAGCAAGTTTCATTGTGATGTAAATCCTTACATAATATTATATCTGCTTTGCAAGCATCTTATTGAGGATTTTTGTGTCTATATTATTTAATAAAATTGATCTATAGTTTAAAAAAATTAATAGCTGAGTAATACTCCATTGTATAAATGTACCACATTTTTTGTATCTGTTCCTCTGTTGAAGGACATTTGGGTTCTTTCCAGTTTCTGGCTATTATAAATAAGGCTACTATGAACATAGTGGAGCATATGTCCTTGTTATATGTTGGAGCATCTTCTGTATATATGCCCAGGAGTGGTATAGCTGAGTCCTCAGGCAATGTTATATCCAATTTTCTGAGGAACCACCAGACTGATTTCCAGAGTAGTTGTACCAAATTGCAATCCCACCAACAATAGAGGACTGTTCCTCTCTCTCCACATCAACACCAGCTTCTGCTATCCCATGGTGAGTTTTTGATCTTAGCCATTCTGACTGGTGTGAGGTGGAATCTCAAAGTTGTGTTGATTTGCATGTCCCTGATGTCTAAGGATGTTGAACATTTCTTTAGGTGTTTCTTGGCCATTTGAGTCCCCTCAGTTGAGAATTCTTTGTTGAGCTCTGTACAACATTTTTAATAGGGTTATTTGTTTGCCTGGAGTCTAATTTCTTTAGTTAATTGTATATATTGGATGTTAGCTCTCTATCAGATGTAGAATTGGTAAGATATTTTCCCAATCTCT